CTCTCTCTCTCTCTCTCTCTCTCTCTCTCTCTCTTCTCTCTCTCTCTCTCTCTCTCTCTCTCTCTCTCTCTCTCTCTCTCTCTCTCTCTCTCTCTCTCGTCTCTCTCTCTCTCTCTCTCTCTCTCTCTTTCTCTCTCCTTTCTCTCTCCTCTCCCTCTCTCTCTCTCTCTCTCTCTCTCTCTCTCTCTCTCTCCTCTCTCTCCCTCTCTCCCCTCCCTCCCCCCCTCTCTCTCTCTCTCTCTCTCTCTCTCTCTCTCTCTCTCTCTCTCTCTCTCTCTCTCTCTCTCCCTCCCTCTCCCTCTCTCCTCTCCCTCTCCTCTCCCTCTCCCTCTGCCCTCTCTCCTCTCTCTCTCTCTCTCTTCCGGAGACGAAGAGTGTACGAAGGACTCCTCCCTCCCTCCCTCGGCTCCCTCCCTTCACCGCCCCCCAGACCTCGGTGCAGTGAAGGGAGAGGAAAGAGGTTTCACCGCCGCGTCGGCCGGAGGAATTGCTCGCTTGATGCAACGTCGTCTCTGCATTTGCCGCGCGCACCCGAACGAGGAATCACAAGGAGGGAAAGTGTCAATATAAGCAGCGTCAGAGGAGAGTGAGAGAGAGAGATGGAGAGAAGAGAGATGATGCAGAAGAGAGAGGGAGAGGAAGGGGAGGGAAGGGAAGAACGAGAGCAGAGAGAGAGAGATAGAGTAGAGAGAGAGAGTGAGAGAGAGAGAGAGTATGGAGAGAGGAGTTCGAAGTAGAGCAGGATAGATAGAGAATTGAGTAGAAGAGCTTACAGAGCATACATAGAGTCACAGAACGACAGGCCAGAGAATAAATCATACAACTTACTCTGACAGTACACGTTACAGTACAAGAAGATAGAGCTTATACACACAAGATAGACAGAGACAAATTAACCGAGACGAAACAGACAGACAGACCAGTAGCACGTAAAGATGAAACACCGTACAGACAGAGTGTGGACGGGTTAGAAGAGAAACAGACTTAGACCAGTTAGTGACGGATGAGACAACAACAGATTACGGCATAGACAGGATGAATATGAGAGAGGAAGAAGAATATGAGCAAGAAAAATAAATGGCACATATAGACGGAGTAGAATTATGCAGGCAGGTTAGGTTCATCTCTTTGGAATATGCGAAGGAAGAAGGGTGGCACGTCCCATCCAACACTCGATACTTGGAGAGAGGTAACAGCTTCGTCATTGAGCAATGGGAAAAATGCAACGCTTCAGGTAAAATAATGTATTAATTAATTATGAATAATAATGAATTAATAACAATAAATACTATAATGATTCAATATATAATTGATACTATTATAAAATGAAATAATAAATAATAATATGATGATGATAAATAATGATAATAATAGTAATCGTTGATAATAATAATTATTGATATATAAATAAATGAAAATAAAAGCGATCAGAATACAAAAAGACATTTCCAGATATGATAATAATAATGATAATAGTAATCATAATAATATATAACAATTACTAATATAAATAAATGAAATAAAAGCAATCAGATTACAAAAAAACATATTTCCCGATTTTAGAAACCCGATTTGATATCAGGTTTGAACTTTGAATTATCCTGAATGAAAACAACACGTAGGGCCCCCCCCCAAAAAAAAAAAAAAAAAAAAAAAAAAACTGGAGTCGTTCCGGTGTCGGAGGTCAACTCGACATGACCTCCAGGGCACCGGGGGGGGGGGGGGGGGGGGTAGCGGAACACGGCAAGGCGGAGAGCTGCCGAAAAGGAAGCACAAAAGGAATGGAATAAATGGGAGAGATAGAGACAGATAGAGAGCAAAATAAGGAGGAGCTGCGAAGGGCACGATAGCAGCTGCGAAGAGGAAGCACAAAGGAATGGAATAAATGGGAGAGATAGAGATAGATAGAGAGCAAGGTAAGGAGGAGCTGCGAAGAGGAAGCACAAAGGAATGGAATAAATGGGAGAGATAGAGACAGATAGAGAGCAAGGTAAGGAGGAGCTGAGAAGAGGAAGCACAAAGGAATGGAATAAATGGGAGAGATAGAGACAGAGAGAGAGCAAGGTAAGGAGGAGCTGCGGAGAGGAACACAAAGGAATGGAATAAATGGGAGAGATAGAGACAGATAGAGAACAAGGTAAGGAGGAGTTGCGAATAGGAAGCACAAAGGAATGAATAATGGAGAGATAGAGACAGATAGAGAGCAAGGTAAGGAGGAGCTGCGAAGAGGAATGAAGGAAATGGAATAAATGGGAGAGATAGAGACAGATAGAGAGCAAGGTAGGGAGGAGCTGTGAAGGAACGATAGCAGGAAGCACAAAGGAATGGAATAAATGGGAGAGATAGAGAGCAAGGTAAGGAGGAGCTGCGAAGATGAAGCACAAAAGGAATGGAATAAATGGGAGAGGTAGAGACAGATAGAGAGCAAGGTAAGGAGGAGCCGCGAAGAGGAAGCACAAAGGAATGGAATAAAAGGGAGAGATAGAGACAGACAGAAGGAGAGGTAAGGAAGCAGGTAGACAGACAGACAGGCTGATGGAAGGAACAGAGAGAGAAGCTGATAGACAGACAGACGGAGGAGATAGAGACAGTAAAAGAGACAGACCGACCGGCGCCAGGTATAGACAGACGGATTTTATAGAAACAGAAAAACAGATTAGAGACAAAAAAAAAACAGATAGAGAGACAAGGTCAAAGAAAAATAAAAACAGGCATACAGAGAGAGAGAGAGACAGAGAGACAGAGACAGACAGGGAAAAATAAAAACAGGTATACACAGTGAACAGGAACAGGGAAAAATAACAGATTAGCACAGTGAGAGAGAAAGAGACAGAGACAGACAGGGAAAAATAAAAACAGGTATACAGAGAGAGAGAGAGAGAGAGACAGACACAGAGAGAGAAAGAGACAGAGAGAGACAGGACAGAACCAGACAGAAAGACAGACAGAAGAGACAGAAAAGGAGACCAGAGAGGAAAGAGAACAGAGACAGACAGACAGACAAAAAAGAGACACACAGAGAGAAGAGAAGACAGAAAAGAGACAACAGAGAGAGCAGAGAGACACGAAAAGGAGACAGAGAGAGAAAGACAGAGACACAGACACAGAGAGAGAGAGACAGACAGACAGAAGGACAAAGAGACAGAAAAGGAGAGACATAAACGGGTAACATCGTCAGGGCGCTTTGCTCAGGGCTGCCCTTTCCTTACTCTCTTTCTTCCTTCCTCCCTTCCCTCCCTCCCTTACCTCAAACCTCCCATGACCACCCCTTCCTCTCCCCTCCTTCCCATGACCCCCAGCCTTCATTCCCCCTCCTCTCCCATGACCCCTTCCCTCTCCCCTCAACCACCCTCCTCTCCCCTCCTCCCTCCTACCCCTCCCCTCCCTCTCCCCCTTTCCCTCCCATGACCCGCCTCCTCCTCCCAATCCTCCCCATGACCCCCTTCCCTCTCCTCCTTCCCCCTCCATTACCCCTCCCCCCCTCCCCCAATCCTCCGACCCCTCCTCTCCCCCAAGCCCTCCCATGACCCCCCTCCCTCTCCCCCAACCATTAACTCCCTCTCCCCTCCATGACCCCTCAACCTCTCCCTGTCCCCTCCCTCCATGCCCTCACCTCTCCCTCTCCCTCTCCCCCTCCCTCCCTTCCCTAACCCGTCCTTCCATCTAGCCGCCTCCCCGCAAGGACCGCCCACCCACCTCCTCCCTCTCTTCCCTTCCCCCTCGCCCTCCCCTTCGCCGCCCCCCGCCCCCACCCTCCCTTCTCTCGAAGTTCGATCCTGGTGTCACGCATCCACAGCGCTGCAGGCGGGTTTCGCTGCGATGGTTCTCTCGATCCGCTGTTCTAATGGTAATGGCCGACACGGCACACCCCCTCTCCCTCCTTCCCTCCCTTCCTCTTTCTCTCCCTCCCTCTGTCTCCCATTCCTCTTTTCTCCCCTCCCTCTGTCTCCACCTTCCTACTTACCTCCCTTCCTTTTTCTCTCTCTCCCTCTGTCTCACCTTCCTACTTACCTCCTCTTTCTCCCTCCCTCTGTCGCCCCTTTCTCCTTCCTTCCCTTCCTCTTTTCCTCCCTCCCTCCGTCGCCCCTTCCTCCTTCCCTCCCTTCCTTTTTCTCTCTCTGTGTGTCTCACCTTCCTACTTACCTCCCTTCCTTTCTCTCTCTCTCTGTCTCCCCTTCCTACTTACCTCTCTTCGTTTCTCCCTTCCTCTTTTCCTCCCTCTCTCTGTCTCCCCTTTCTCTTTTCCTCCTCCCTCCTTCCTCCTTCCTCTTTTCCTCCTTTCTCTGTCCTTCCTCTGTCTCCCTTCCTCCTTACCTCCTTCCTTTCTCTCTTCTCCCTCCTTCTGTTGCCCCTTCCTCCTTCCTCCCTTCATTTCTCTCTCCCTCTGTCTCCCATTCCTCCTTCCCTCCCTTCCTTTCTCTCTCCTTCCTCTTTCCCTCCCTTTCTACCTTCCTCTGTCGCCCCTTCCTCCCTTCATCTCTCCCTTCTTCTCTCCTTCCCTCTCCCCCTTCCTCTTTCGCCCTTCCCTCCCTCCTTCCGCTGCCCTCCTTCCTTCCCCTCCCTCTGTTGCCCCTTCCCCCCTCTCCCTCACCTTTCTTTCACCCCCGCGCCCTCACCTCCACTTTCCTCGTCTTCCACTTCGTCACCGCCTTCGCCCCTCCCCCTCGTCCTCGTCGTCCTCTTCTTCCTTCAGCCCCCCTCCTACTTCTTCCCCCTACCTTCTACCTCCTCTTCCACCCCCTCCTTTTTTCTCTCTCCCCCTTTCGCTTCCCGCTCACTCTGCACCCACAGTTTCACTCTCCCCTCCCCCCTTTCCCCCCCCTCCTCCACCCCCTCCCCTCCTCCCCCCTCCCCCTCCTCCTCCCCCCCTCCCCCCTTCCCCCTCCCTCCCTTTCCCCATTCCTCACCCTCACCTCCCCCCTCCTCCTCCCCCCTTCCCCCCTCCCCCCTCCTCCTCCCTCCTCCCCTCCCCCCCCTTTCCCCTGTGGCCAGACGGCGGCCCCGCCAGTCAGCACACAGGCGAGGAAGCGGGTGGTGGTGGTGGAAGGGGACTCAGACCTTCTTCGACTGCGCCTTCTGCTGTGCGTGTCGGTGTCAGCTGCGGCGGAGGAGCGGTTCCCCAAGGGCGTCCCGAGGAGAAGCCGCCCGCACGTCCGGGGATTGATAATAATACTCAGCCCCGCCCGC